GGGTCCTGGCGGGGTCCCTGCCCTGGGCCGAGCGGCGCCGAGACCACAGGGTAATTTTTAATTACTAGCAGTGTACGTAATTCAGGGATGCAGATTTCAAATATACACCAAAAAGATAGGCAAATCTGTGCGAATTTTTCTTTTAATTCCCAATATACTTACTTTTTAAAATTATTTTCAAAAGCTTGTCTTGCTTCTTTGAATGTGCAGACTTCTGTGTACTCGCCCTCAATCTTGGCTAGCATTTTAATACTGAATTGGCTTTTTTCCTGTGAAGAAAACTAAAAAGATATATAATTATAAGCAACAAAAATATTTTTTTTATTGAGATAGTATCTCACTTAGTCACTCAGGCTGGAGTGCAGTGGTGATTATGTCTCACTGCAACCTTAACCTCCCAGGTTCAGGTAAGCCTCCCATCCCAGCCTCCCGAGTAGCTGGGACCACAGTTGTGCACCACCACCATACCTGGCTAATTTTTATATTTTTTGTAGAGACTGAGTTTTGCCATGTTGCTCAGGATGATTTTGAACTCCTAGGCTCAAGCGATCTGCCCACCTCAGCCTCCCAAAGTGCTGAGATTACAGGCGTGAGCCCCTGCACCTGGCCAACAAAGAGTAATTTTTTTTTTTTTTTTTTTTTTTTTTGAGATGGAGTCTCACTCTGTCACCCAGGTTGGAGTGCAGTGGCGTGATCTCGGCTCACTGCAACCTCTGCTTCCTGGGTTCATGCAATTCTCCTGCCTTGGCCTCCCGGGCAGCTGGAATTACAGGTGTGTGCCACCACGCCCAGCTAATTTTTTGTATTTTTAGTAGAGAGGGGGTTTCACCATGTTGGCCAGGCTGGTCTCGAACTCCCGACCTCAAGTGATCCATCCGCCTTGGCCTCCCAAAGTGCTGGTATTACAAGCGTGAGCCACCACGCCCGGCCGAGAGTAATTTTTTTTTAAAAGCCCACATGGAAAGTTAATATACCAGATGAAAACTGCTAGGTGCTCTCTAGAAAACAGCCAACATCCTAAACCTCTTTCTTGGAGTCAGCAATGGAGTAACACTTAATTCCAAACTAGTGTATCTGCTATCTTCCTCATCATGTGAGTACCTCCTTTCAGTAGCAGTTGCCCTGGGCAGGGACAGTGACATAATTAACTGTGTTATATTCAGACATTAGCACATTCCTGCAAACCAAGGGTGTTTATGATAGCACTATTTATACTCATTAGTATAAGTAGATACCCCAAGGCATTCTGCTGTTGGACAGAAGCAACCAAATCAAAACCCAGCCTCTAGACAATGTCTTTGTCCTGCTTCCTGAAAATAAATAAAACTTCACTTGACCCATGTAATATAAACCCAGAGAACCATTACTTGTATGAAAAGACAGGTGACAAAACAACATTGAGGAGTTAAGATACATTTGGCCAAACCCATTCCAAAAAAAGAAATAATAGTTTTAAATAAAATTTAATTATCTATAGTGTGATATTTTAACACATACAACCCTATTCCACTGCCCCTCAGAAAAAGAAAATTCTTCTCTGTGATGTATGGAGATATTGCCACATAGATAATCAAAATTTATACCCATGATACCCTGTGCAGTAAATAAGGCAATGGCTATGTATGCACTCATAGAGAATTATTTTTACTTTTCTATACAAGTAAATATAAAATGTACTTCAATTACATATTTCTAAAAAGAAATCTTCCTTGTTTGTATACATAAATAAAATGTCACTGGAATTAAATCCCTGCTAATATAAAAGGCTTACAACATTTCTTAATCTTATAAATTTCTAACATATGAAAAGTCACATTAGTGCAAGATTTTTTTAAAATTTGTATTTTCTAAAGGAGTTTTTAAAGTATTCATTTTCCAGAGAACATTTTGAAATAAATGAAAAACAGAAGTGCTTTTTTAAGAATAAATGTCCAATCAATGAATTTAAACTTTACTTAATTATGTGTATTTCATATAATAGAAAACAGATTTTTAACCTAGTATTTTTTTAAGTATCCAAATTGAATCAGCTAGATGACACACAATAACAACAACAGTAGGCCCACAATGAATGTTTCCATCCTTCTACACTTCATAAGCATAACCATCTAAAAACAGACTTCAAGCATGACTGAGTGAAGAGGTCAGTGAATTATCTTTGCAAAAAGCAATGATAAACTGGATAAAATTGCCAAAAAAATTCAGTACTCTTGAAAATGACAAAAGGCATACAACAAATTGAAGGTATTGACTCAAGAAATACAGTGAATTTGTGACATTATTAGCCTGAGCTCCTGCCATCCTGCCTGTCTACCCCTAGCTCTGTGGTGTAGCACTTCTACTGTGGTGTAGCAGCAGGCTATGAGACTAGATGATGGAGAGGGCTGATTTTAAAGTGCAGAAAAATCTATGCTGAGGGGTGTTGTTGAAAACAACAACGGTTTTAGTGGCAAACAACTGAGGAAGATCAACATCACAGCTAAATTGGGGTTGCAATATGAGTTGGGGTGAGCTACAGATAAGAAAGTCAGCTGTAAATTTAACAGAGAGATCCAGCAATAAGACAGCCATAGTGAACCTTAAGAAGCTCCCATGTATCCCAACTGTTATGAAAGGCTATATTCACTCAGGAAAGTCCAGAGATTGCCCTAGCTAGCAACTTGTCCCTGGCTACATGTGAAGCCTTATGTACCCAGAAAGTAAAAGCCAAGGCAGATTTGTAAACTTCCTGAACTTCGAATGTGACTATATTTGGAGATAGGGCCTTTATGGCGGTAATGAAGGTTAGATGTAGTCATAAGGGTGGGATACTGTACTGACAGAAGGGAAACCTCTAGGTATCCAGGTTTAAAAATAAAAAAAAATAAGACTTTAAAAAAATGAGTAGAAACATTAGTAGGTACACACTACAAGGGAGACAGACCCTATAGAATGAATCTGGGCAGAATCTGTAGCTGCTACAATACAGTACCAAAAATGTCCACTTCTAAAATCAATTATAAGACATGCAAAAAAGCAAGAAACTGACTTGTACACAGGAAATAAAGCATTAAATGAAAACTATCCCTGAAGGAGCTGAGATATTAGACTTAGAAGACAAAAATGTCAAACCAACTTTTATAAATATATTCAAAACTAAGGAAACATATTTAAAGATTAAATGAAAAGTACTAAGACGATGAGTTGTCAAATAGAGAATAAAGATACAGAAAATGCAGAAATTCTGGAGTACAAAAGTACAATAACTGAGATGGAAAAATTTCACTAGAGAGGCTTAAAAGCAGATTTGAACTAGCAAAGAAAGAATCCATGAAGTTGAAAGTAAATCACTAGAGAAAACTGAATGGAGACTCACAGACCAGTGGAATACATCAAGCACACCAATCAATATATGAATAATTGGAGTCCTAGAATAAGAGGAGCGAGAAAGAAGGGAAGAAAAGGTTTTTGAAGAAATAATGTGAGAAAATCTCCCAAATTTAATGAAAATCAGTCTCACCTAACCTGATCAACCAAATCCCATTTTCAAAAACACAGAGATATGGCTGGGCATGCCTGTAATCCCAGCACTTTGGGAGACCAAGGCAGGCAGATCACCTGAGGTCAGGAGTTTGATACCAGCCTGACCAATATGGCGAAACCGCGTCTCCACTAAAAATACAAAAATTAGCCAGGCGTGGTGGCGGGCACCTATAATCCCAGCTATTCGGGAGGCTGAGGCACGAGAATCGCTTAAACCCGGGACGCAGAGGTTGCAGTGAGCCGAGATCATGCCACTGCACTCCAGTCTAGGCGACATAGCGAGACTCTGTCTCAAAAATAAAAATTAAAAAAACACATACACACACAGATCTATCCCAAGACATGCCATAGTTAAATTTTTGAAAAAGACAGAAATGATTCAACACATAGAAGGGAACCACATTAAGAACATAAACCAACTGCTCATCTGAAACAAAGGAGGCCAGAAAGCAGTTGGGATATTCGAAGTGCTGAAAAGGGAGAAAAGTTTATCAACCAAGAATATTGTATAAGCAAAACTATCATTGAAAAGTGAAGACGAAATAATGACATTCCCCAATAAATGAAGGCTGTTAGAAATCATTGCTAACAATCTTGCCTTGTAAAAAAACTAAGGGTTCTTCTATCTGAAAGAAAATAATAGCACACAGTAACTAGAATATACAAAGAGCTAAAGACCACAGGGAAATATAAAATGCTGTATAAATACTTTCTTCTGCTTTCGTAACTGTCACAAGCTAGGCATACTTCCCATTTTATAATGTACAAGTGGTAGAATTTTACCATCTTTTGGCTCTTAAAAGGCAGATTGTGAGTGAAAATAGGAAAATATTAATGACCAACCAAGTATCTTGTCCATCAAATACTTAATCCTAAGTGGCTCTGCTGTCAGATCCATAAAAGTGAAAACACATTTAAGCAGGAGCATGTAAAGAGCTAGTTTTAAA